TCTCTTAATCTCTGGAGAATTCCCTTCGAATAAAATGAGAATGTTGAATGTACATTACATGCAGTACATTTTCCGACGACAGAATATAAAAGAAACCGTTAAACTGTATGCGATGGCAAGTAGTGCTGTTACACTGGGGAAATGGTATAAATCAAGTCTAATTACTATTCGAAGTCGCAGCGATCCGCGAATCCGCCTTGATTCGATATGCTCTGTTTGTCGCTTCTTCTTTTTATTATGTGTTTTCATATCATTTTTTTATATTTCCACGAGTTTGTTTGCAACAAACGTGATCTCCGCGCGTGACTATTATCCGACCGCTATGCACCAGAAGGCATTTCCGGTTTCGTGTATCATTGCATCGGTGCATATGCAATGAATTTTATGGGAGTCACGTTCGCCGCTTCGTCCCGTAAAAAGAAGTAGTACCTCCGCGACAGTTATGCTTGTAAAAACAAAAGAACAATTTGTTCTGAAAATGCGGAGAGAGAGAGAGAGAGAGAGAGAGAGAAAAGAGAATAAAAACAATTTCGATAAATATACATTTTTTTATAAATTTATGACACATTTTTAATTTATAACGCAGACTTAATTACAGAAGTCTGTAGTTTACAGTATATTTGGAGCACTTCATAACATAATATAAATAAAACAAGAGATGTGCACAGAATAATGTACATAATTGCAATGTCAATATTTTCATTTTCCGAGAAATTTCGCAGAAGTTTTGCTTTCAGTTAATTCAATAATACTTTATTAGATTGTTAAATTTTAAAACTATAAATTACTGAATATAATTAATTTAAATATACATGTATAATATATGTACATATCAAAATGTAATTGCGAGTAGAAATTATCTAATTATATATACGCATCATTCTTCTACACACATTATACTAAAAAGAACATTGCATTGTGATTGAATGCGAATTTTCAAACTAAAGACATTAAATTTCAAATCATCTCAATACGATGTCTTTACAGTAGTATTACGTTACATGCACAGTTAAACCTATACAACGTTATTAGATTGCCTTTACCGGAATCCAATATTACTGGCAATCCTAATAGTGCCAATACATCGCTGGCATGGGTTTGTCAATTTCGGTGCGACGCGATATAATTACATACTATAACATATAAGCTAGAGTCACAGTTGTTAGTTGAATTCGATGGTTATGTAATTGCGCGATTATATAAATCCTTGTCAATTAAAATTATAATTAGATATACAAAATCCTCTTTCTGCTTTTGAAGAATTCGATTGCATGGCGAAAGGTGAAATGTAAGTTAAAACAACAAAAAATATTGATTCACACTTTTGCGTTCAACCCTTCCGACTGAATCATATGAGGACACTTCATGCGAGTTTTATGCAACAACGCGGGTGTTTGGCGTCACGTGGGCCCAACCGCTGTTGAACCGGATGCAACAGCTTGCCGCAGACTGACCATCCAAGTGTGCTTCCGGTTGTAATTCGATCCGTGACCCGTGAATTAATATTTCATCACGGTTGCATTGCCTCGGCACATTAGGTTCCCTACGCTCTAACCCATCCTCATTTTAGCGGCGCCTCATCGGCTATCACACCCAACGTTTTATACTTCTTCGCTTTATTCGTTTCCTTTTGTTGGATGTTTTCGCGCGTGAGATCGACGTCGTAAGGTTAACGATCCGTGCTCGCGGAAAATACTGCCATTTGGATTGTAGTCGGGGGAGGTACTTCCGACGGAGAAGAATCGCGGTGAAATTAACGGTTGCTCGCCCGCTTCAGCGTACAATGCAATGCATTAATGGTTCTAGTGCAAAACGCACTTATCACGCTTACTCTCTATAGGTCTCAAGGCGCTTACCGTTTCTCCGGCTGCTGCGTCCATTCTGCTATTCGACAATTGATCCGACAACCTCCGTTGTTTAATCGCGCAGTTCACTCTTTTGAATACTGCACAATCACGTTTTCAATATATCATTAAAATTCTAGACAATAGATTTTGTTTAAAAATAAATTAATATAGATGTATTCGGGGAAAAAACTTGTTGAATAACAAGCGAGCTGGTTATCGTCTATTCGAATATTCCACAAACGTCCATTGTTAAGCCACGAGTGTTCGACCGAAAGTAATCCGACTAAAAGCGGTCGGTGTACCGCGGTAGCATTTGCCGATCGCCACGTTTACATTTTCTCCCGGAAACACGAGGAGGGCGATTTTAAGTTTGTTCACGTAACCCCGCAAGTTTCGTACGTGCCTGCGTCATGCCCGTGAAAATGTTCGCTCTTATCTTCAGAAATGTCGCGGAAAATCTCCGATATCGCGAGGGAACGAATCCGCACGGGGTGCGTCTCTCCGGAAACCTGACGAGCGAAGTTCAATGACCTATATATCGACGGTACAATACACATCCACTGGCAAAGGTACAATGCAACTGCGATACGAAGACCCCCGTAACTCCATAGCGACTCGAAATCAATACGACGTATATCGATGATGTGTCAATACGCAGACCGTCTTGCCTTACAATTCACTCCTGCGCCGAAGCCAAGTGGTCCAAGCAAGGAGTCGAGTCTGAGTTACAAAGGGTCGTCCTGTCCCGTCGATCACGAAATTGCTTAGGCGGCAGAACGTGTTCAACGAGAATGGATCGAGATGCATCTAACTGCATTATATTGCAAAATACAGTTAACCATATTTCAAACGTATCGACAGTACAATCTGAAGAGCGTAGAATAGGGTTTCCTAAATTAATGGAAATTTATTTATAGAACGACAATGAACGTTTATTAACTGCAAATTTCCAGTATACATCTCTCAAAACTCGATTATTATATGATCAGTTGATGTAACAACTCTGGATCAGTTAGGAATTATTAAAAGTTCGGAAAAACCTGTTAAACTGTAATTTTTAATAGCTACGCGACGTCTATAGTAATTTGAGAACGTGACAAGTTCTAATTGAAAATAATGTTTTCGTTAGCAGAATGAAAACAGAGCCTTACGGCTGAAAGAACCCGCGTCCCTGACGCTTTCCGCCAGCGGAAATTCCGGCGGCTACATGGATCCAGATGGTACGGCCATTGTAATGTCATCCGAGCTTCTGCCAGCACCGACTCCGGATCCGAGAGTGACATGGAATTACTTTGACGAACAGGGGTAAGTCTGGACGGTGATCTTCCTTCGCTATTATTAGCTTCGCGATATGCACCTCCAACATCATTCACCCGCGAGCGCGTTTTCAGTGTCGGCTCGAACGCCGACTTAGACATTCCAGAATGCATTTGCGAGTGTAATATTGATTCGGCTGCAGCGAGACTTCCGACTTCTGTCCGGAGTTGGAACATTGGCATTTATTATTTCGCGCGTTCAACACAAGCATTATCTGTTATCTTCGAGACTCTTTTGCAACGATCTATTAATTTTCCACAGACTGCAACATATCGCGCACTGCCGGGACATATCCGCGTGTTATTGCTATATTACATTGGAATGTTTCATTATCCACGCCATTCATCGACGTTGCTATCCGCTATTATAACCGATGTGCCATTATATTCGTTACGATGGACGTCGCGATTTTACGGCGCGATCGTTGCGATACGATATAAACACACGTAAGCCTGAATATCAGGTTTGACGGGAGATTTTAGAAAAAATAACAAGAAATTCAACGGCAATAATTTTCTTTGTGCAACAGGTATGTTTCAAGAGGTGGTCTACGTGCAGGCGAGGACCCATACGCGAGGAATAAATTCAATCAGGAAGCCTCTGACGGTCTTCCGAGCAATCGTGACATACCTGATACTCGTAGCGCCATGTAAGTAGTTTATTTCGTAATGTTTGTCAATGTATTACGTTTGTGTTATCCGAATATATCTTGCTTCTTTAAATATTACCATTATTATTAAACAAGTACTAAACTATTAAACATATGTTAAACATTGGACATTACATGTACATTAGACACAATTAGACACATAATTGGAGATGTACATATTATAGATTAGATCCTACTATATATAGATGTATAGATTACATGCATATATTATAACAACATTATATGTTGCTAACTCATTTTGCATGCATATAACATATATTGCTCATTTTATTATAACGACATTACTCAAAAATTGTTATTTTTTGCTTGCGGAAATAGAACATAAATGTAAAGAAAAAGAAAAGAACATAAAAAACATATTTTTGTTCTTTTATCAGTTTTTCAGTCAGTTATTATATTAAAATTGCATTTTAAAATATTTATTACAAAAATTTTAATTATTTAAAACATTTTCTAGTTAACTTTGCTTTTTTAGGTATTCACGGAGAAAAATGTAAAGTAATATGCTCTAGAATTCTAGTAAATTTTATGGAATTGACAGGTATATATATATATATATATGTATATAGGAACAAGTAGCCATTTATGTAAAGTTTTCTTTATTTTTCTGATAAATGAACGATCATCGTACAACCATATCATAAAGTAAATTTTATGCTACTGCAATTTGTTACTATTTCTTAATCTAAATTATATACATATTAATCATACATCTCAATAGAATTAATTTTATCAACGAGTATTTTTTGCCTTTACGCTAAAAAGATTTGCTGCGCGGTAAAAAATCCAAGTGTAGATATAAAGTTTTTGTTCGTGCCTACAGTCTTGAGAAAAGTATGATTTACTTAAGATCACTTGAATGAATTTATTATAATTGTAACGTACTTTTTACCTTTTTACATCTCCAGTATTTTTTTATTTTCGGACAAGTAAAGTATGTTATAAGTTTGACAAAATTAGCTAAAATTGTTTTACTATTAGATTTATAAGACTATCCATTTTTTTTTCCGTGTGTTGTTGTAGCAAATGAGCAATATACGAATTCTTTATTTTAAAAAGCAAAGCTATATTATATGTGTAAAATAAGCTTAACGGAATTAAATAAAATAATAAAAGATAATCGGGGTTTACTGTCGCTTGTCTCTCAATCCATCGCAATATTCATTCGCTTCGCATTATTCATTGATAAAAACGTCGGAGACACATTGAAGACGATTATTCAGAGTTAAAATTGTCTCGTGGAATAAATTCTCGATTTGTGTATTCGTAAAAGGCGGCGGGATAAGTTTCTCATTTTTTAAATAATGCATCGGTACATTCGGTGAATATGATTTGCTGTCAGACAGTCTCCTCACAAAACAAGCATTTCGGGATGAACGAGAAGACGGCGAAAAGAAATAAAAGAACGCAGAAATTGGCCTGTCGGTCGATCAACCCGTTTATACACTACTATTGGCAGCTACGTGATTCTCTCGGCGGATATTATTCCTCGCAAATGATCGGTAAGATCGCGGCGTACCGCTGGGAATTCATGCGGTATCATGACAAGCTGCCATTCAGGCCGCCAAACAGCAGTTATTCCGCCGAAGAAGAGCAGCAAGATCTCGCAAATACTGAGAAGTAATATTTCTCCCAGTCTAAGTACAATAAGATAGTCGTACATAGTCATTTGTGAAGACGAACTTTCATTCAATTATCCTAGAAAATTGATGATGAAAGGAAACAGATTATACGCAATTTCTCGTAGCGGATATCTAAAAATTTTTACTTTATTATAAACAGAATTTTTTCATTTATTAAAGTAGAAACATATTTTTATACGCTTTTTTGTTAACATATACATGATCAAAGTACAAGAAATCCATTTCCGCATATGCCACCGTGAATATCTCCAGTAATTTCCTGCGAAGCGAATCTGGCATCAATCTCCGTTTCACCTATCAGGTACATACTTTCATTGAAAAAGGTAATAACACGCAAATATTATATATATCGCGAAATATTAAATATTCGGAAATTTGAAATTCTACGTTTTAAATCAATCTTTTATAATGCATTATGAATGTGATATGTAAATGCGTATAAATACATAAACGCGTAACATCAAGAAATCTTTTGCACAGGTTCGAGTATAAAACTGTAATTGGCATTTCCTCTGCGCGATAGGATCGCAAAATATATACCTGCTGTAATTCTTCTGATCCACCTAGGCGCAATCTATCCTTGCTCTGACATAAGACTCGCACACATGCACGAACACACATACACATCTTTTTATATCATGAAAAATTCAAAAGGCAGCATGAAGTTCCAATACATTCATACCATCAAGGAGTTTGAGTTGCTCCCAAGAAAAGCGATAAAGCCGCGATCATAAATTCTTACCGATACACATAGATCGTTGGTACCGTTGTTACATGTCAAACATTGTTAGCCGCCCGAAACGCATCCATGTATAAAGTTTCGCTATGAAACTATGGGTATGTACATTTCCCTTGTTTACGATCATTGTATAATGTTTGCAATGAATATAAATTATAGTTGTCGCGATATCTGCTGTTATATCTTGACGCTGAAAATCATGCGAGGATCGACTGTTTGTCAGAAAGATTAATCGGTTATCTCTGTAATGTATCGGTATAATATATTGGTAATTAGTATCATGACGTTATTTGCAATAAATCGCATTTCCATGTGTACATTAATTTTCTCATTGCCGCGTATGCTTTATTAAAATGTAATTAGTTAAGTGCATATTATGTGGATTAAATGGCATATGACTCACATATTTTTACACATATATAATAAATATAGTGCATATCTTTTAAAATGCAAAACAAATATCGAAATTTATATACTGAGAAAAAATATACTAAATTTTAATAAATATTTATTTGAATACTTGAATATTGAACTACTAAACATTTACTTACAGTAAATAGATATTTACTCAATAAAAAAAAGATTGCTAATCAAATTAATGGTTCTTGTACCAAATAAATGTATCTTTATATTTAATAAATATTTAGCTGGTATTATTCAAACAAATAATTTATGAAAAATTTCAGATGTAGCATTACTGTCTTCTTTCAATAATTAATAATTAGTATAATTAAAATCATTGTGCATTTTCCATGTTTTCTACTAGAAAGACGAAATGTCATATTTTACATTATATCGACTGTAAAGATGATGATAGAAAAGCTCTTTTATTGCAAATGTTATATCGCTGATATTCTTCGCAAAGTTAGTTCTGTGTGTATTATCTTGAAAAACATGGTGAAAAATGTCTTTGCGAATGGATAGAAAAATATTGCGAATCTGTACATATCATGCTATGAGGTAAATCCTGCTTCAGGAAAATCGGCGCGAGAACATGCTCTGCAACGCATTCTGCGCGAGATGAATTTTTGCGCTTCCTTGCTTGGCAGACAGATGTGACGTCGCGAAAATACAGGAAGTCAAAGCTGGGGCGAAGTTATGCGTTTTAGATGAAAAAGAGATGGTACTTTTTGCTAAGACGAAGGTCGAAAGGGTTTCGACTCGATTCTAACGGTTAACCCGCAAGGAAGAAGCAGTGGGACGATGGAAATTGGGGAAGCAATAGAATTGAGTTTGCAAAGTTTTTTATGGACGGTTCTCGCACTTAATGGTAATTGCTTGCTCTTGTTACTTTACGCGTCCAATATACCACTAATAAAAACATAAGCTGACTCTCGTGTCGCTTTCGTTATGTATGAGCGTATGGAAGTACTATCCATTCGAAATTTCAGTCCCTATACGAGTATATGGTTGATAATAGTATAACGAAGTACACTTGGCAACTATCATAGCGTTGAAATCAAGAAGCTAATTGACCAAAGGGGAAACTTTAAACAGTATTGTTGTGAAAATATTTATGTCTAAACTTTGAAACGATAGGATTTATAATTATTCGCGTACGATAACAATCCGGAATATAATCGCAAATTAGTATAATTATTTCACTGTCACAGTATATTACACGGATCGGCGTATCTTGATCAGAGAAACTATACTACTATGATCCAATTCCATAACTAATTAATTCATTATCAATGCAGCTAATATTGAATATGCCACAGTATACTTTACAATAAATAATATCGTATTGTTACTAAATACGCGATTAATAATCCTAACTCTCATTATAGGATTATTGAAATATCCTAAATATTAATCCCAAGTTTATTCATTTATAGTTTATCTTTTAATTATTTTTTTGTATAATTGTTTTTAAATAAAAATAATTATTCTTATATTTATGATATTGGCGGTTTCTTAATATGTGTTTTTTTTTTGAAAAAAAAATTATTATATTAGGTAGCTAATAAAATTTCTGCCTACTTTCACAGCCATCTTGAATTGTGATGTTAGAAGTGAAAAAAATGTATAAAGAAAATTTTCACAAACTCTATATTAAATATAGTTTTTAATGAAACAACATTTACAATCGATAGATAAAATATATAAAAAAAACTCTCCTTGTGAATCAATAAATAACTACATATTTGTGTGAAATCGAATTATGCCTAATCAGAAAATGAAACAAGTTAAATGACAGCAGTTAAATTGAAATAAATATGATTTTATATTATTTCGAAATAAAAGGAGAATTTTCAGTATATTTTATAAGAGTACCTACTCTATCAAATGCAAATATTATTTTGTTGAAAATTATTTTTGTTTTAATATATTTTGCAAGACTTTTTTCATTATGTACCTATTTTCTCACTTCTCACGAATCATCAATCTCAAATTTCATGGTGAGCGATCAGGAGCCTTAAATTACAAACTATTAGATGTTTTTATTGCACTTTAATATCAAATGATCAATAGCATGTCTATCGAAAGATAAGTGTTTGTATCAGCGAATTTAAAATGCATTCGCACTCTTTCTCAGGCAATCTTACCCTGAAGAGGCTCCTTGCCTTTGTCGTCAAATCTAACATTAAATTTCTGCGTTTCTTTTTTTCGTTAGATGCGACTATGTCTTATTTCTTATCTGCGAAGCTCCCTAAATGTAAAGTTTCCTCAATGGTTATAATTTATTATCGATGTTAATTTGTTTGTACCTTCTAACTGAACGCGATATTACACGATGTCATTAATTTTGCTTCAAAGCGAAAGAGAATTCGTATCAATTTACGTCCGTTTGATTAATTCTGTATAACGTGCTGTCGAGCCGGATTCGGATCCGCATGAGTTATCGGATACGATCCGTGACGTAAACTTCGTTTTCTCCCTGGCACACGCGCGCTGGGCAAGTAATCGCCTTGATTCCTGACGGGGGCAATGCGGAGATTCTGTTAGTTGCGTTGGTGCATGACCTCATGAATCACGAGAGAATCAGCGCGATGTCTGAGGTCTATATAAACGGTGACTGATGAGATTATCCGGGTAATATCCGTCATGGATTTTGTAAGTATTAGCTGCCAAGAATTGCAAGTAAATACATTTATGCCTGCTCGCATGCAAATTAAGAGAAAGTTTACAAAATTTATTAGCAAAAATTATATTACGCTATGTGAATAAATAATATTTTTTTTAATGAAATAACGAAGGAAAAAAATATAGGTATTTATCCGCTCACATTCGCTCGTATTGTCTTTTAGGCAGCAATCGAGAAATCCGATAGCCAATACCAGAAACAGTACGTAAATGTTATATGATCTCCATTAAATGAGATTGTAACGAGAATGTACTGTATTGATTAATCAGAGGCCAGCGTTGTTGGACTTTGTCGCTCTCTGCACAGCCGTTTATTAAACACTTAAAATTCTCATCAGAAATGTATGTTTGACCGCAGAAAGTCATCGAGAGATCCATTCGATCACGGCGTTCATTGCTACGTATAGTGCATAATATTTGACTCTCCGACCATCGTTCAAACATTGAACTACCGCGCGCGTACGAATTGAACTTACAAAGTCACTATAGTGTTCCGCAAACACGATATTCGTTATCGATTATGCCTTCCTCTTGTAATTTCCATTATATTTACCGATACTAGAAGATTTATGTTATTTGCATACCGCATACATCACGAAACTCGATATGCCGGTCGATATACATTAAACATATCAATGCGCTGCGAGTGTCGAGATAAGGATCCCGAGAGAGATTTACGTGCGATATATGTTTGTAAATCCACCATTGCGATTGAACTTTTAAGGGGTCTGAAAAGAAAATCTTGCAGGATTTACGTAAGGATTTACATATTAAAAATTACACAGGAATAAAAAAAATTGTGGAGAGAAACTCAAACCAGAGTAGGTGTTTTTTTTTAGATTTTGGATCGCTGTATCCGAATTCCTAAACCGCTCCATCACATTCGGTTTTTTTAGATAGTCGAGAAAAATAAAAAATCCGTGAAAATTGAAACATTTGAGGAAAAAGCAAAAGTAAATATAACATTAAAATGTGGTTGTGCAAAACTGATTTAAATATACTTTGATAAGTGATTTAAATAAAATGTAAGAAATAAAAAAAATTGCTTTTTTAATATTAGGTATTATTCAAAATCTGTAAAAAATATTTACTCTTATTTTTAAGTTTGTCTTCGAAAATTATTTTGTGGTCCTGTATTATTATAATCAGTAATTGGTTTATTTAGTTCTACACAAAACTAAAATAATATATCTTATACAAAGACAGTTACCAGTATTATTTTTCCAAAAATAACACACATATTTTATAAGATTTGAGATTTTTATTTCGACTTTGGGCTGCCGTCGTGTGAAGAATTATGGCCACGTCGAAAATACCAACTTCCATAGAACAAAATGTCAGGAGAAAAATTATAGGAGAAAATAAACGTTACGGAGTTGCGGATGTGTTTCGGGGGAGCGATGCAACTATCTATTTGCCTGTATCTTCTGGCTGACGTAACAAGATTTCGCTACTTGCACGCAGTCTGATCGTACTCGCAGTTACTACTTCCTGGCTCAATAAACACGTGCAATCCACTTGACGTAGAAAAGAATCGATTTATCGACAATTTTAGAAATTGCAAAAAATCATTCTGCTGTATGAAACAAAATTTAAAATTTTCCATATATTTACTTTATAAATTTAACAGATTAATTCTTTTGTGTATTTATATTTTACTTGAATGAAACTTGTTTTACACATAATTGAATTATAATCAATATGTTTCGTCGCATATTTTATTGAAAATAAATTTACTTCAACAATAATTTCGGATCATACATATTAATATTAAGAATTTTATTTGATGTAATAATATTATAATTTCTCCGTATATCACAATGATTTCATAAAGCATTTACATAATTAACTCTACAAATGATTTGATTTATGTATGTAATTGTAATTTGTGAGCTAATTTGATTAATTAATCATAAATTAATTCTTAACATAAAGTAATCAAAATAGTAAACTGATGTGAAATAATCAGTCACATATCACATTTTGCTTATGAAAGATCAAATGTATGCAGAAATTGATGGATATTTCCAATTAATATCATTCATTTGCGATTAAATGAAAAAAGCATGTATTAAAGATATGTATAATATAACATTAATCAATTTTAATGAAAATAATGTCTCATGTAAACTACACATTATAACTTATCAATGTGTAGTTTACATAAATGGAAATCCTTATTATTTGTTGTGCTCAGATTTGATAAAATCCTTTATGAAATGTGCTACGTACATACAATGCAAGAT